TTTAATGTTTAATGTTCAGTGCTGGGTTAACGGTTGGACTAGATGATCTTCAAGGTCCTTTCCAACTTAGTTGATCTGTGATTCTGTTTAAATGTTTATCTAAGTCTTGGGCATGGGCTGCAGCATAGCTCCCATTTCATCAGAGTTTGATGAGCCATTCTGGTTATCTGACTGCTCTGCAGAATTAAGGATTTTGGATTTTTTTCTTTATTATTCTCTTGCTGACTGTTGTTGTATATTGGGCTGATACACCTGTTCAGCAGGAAAATTTGGTCTGTTTTTACAAGATCAATCCGTTCTTCCTGAAAAAAATCTGTTTTTTGTTTTTTACTTTCTATGCAGAATAAGACTTACTGCAACATTGGTGGCTGTCTAACAGCCAAGACATCTTCAGGTTTGTGTTTGGTTGAGCTATTTGTATTTCATATGCTGCAGAAAATAAGGTGGATGCTTTTTACAAGAGGGATAGATATTTCCATTTACTCCAGGAATGTGCAGCAAGATGAGTCAGTTGTTATGAACTCTAGTCATGAATAGTAGTAGTTTTAGAGCTGGGAAGTCAGTAGGCTTACTCAAATTTTGGGGGGATATTTGTTTTCATGGCAACTTAAGATCAGAAACTTAGAAAAACTATCCAGTGGTTGTAGGATTGCACCGTAAATCCTGGGACCGTCGTAAATGGAGAGTCCCATTGCTGTGGTGTTCATGTGTGCCATGGTCAACCCTCTCTTAGGAATATGTTCCCATCAGTCTGCTTTGTTTTTGGTAAGAGAAAAAGAGAATTACATCGTTGATGTTGTGGTATTGCTTTGGATTCAGACTTTTCCTGCTTAGATCAAGGTTTTGTTCCCTGCAGTGAGAGACCCCTTCTCAGGAGGTAGGTGTGAGATATCAAATCACCCTTGGGCAGATTCCATCTTTTTATCACTGCATGGAAAACTTCTGAGAGCTGCCATCTCTGGGACATCCCCATTTCAGTGGGGTGACACCAGCCCTGGCACCCTTGAATTGTGGCCAAGGATAGCAGCCGCTTGTGCTGGATGCTGCAGCACGAAGTGGGACCTCACAGGCTTTTTCGATACAGCATTTGCTCCAGAGCTTCATGTGAGTGATGCCCCTTGGTCACAGTCTACTGCTGTACATAAACCTCTAATTGGAGATCATGGGATGTGGTCCATTGCATCAGGACCAGAAGTGTGTGTGTCAGTGCGAGCCTGGCGGTGCTGTGGCGGAGCTGGAGCAGAATGAGCACTTAACCCAGTCCACTGGTGGATGAATTGTAGTTGCACCTCAAAGCAGTACCCCCTTTACTGCAGCAACTGAGACCAGCAAATGCTGAGTTCAGACCTCAGGCAGCTTTCTTTTAAATCAAGGTGAAATACTTCTGCTCGTGCAGTTTCAATTCTAGGTTGTTTAGGTTTTTAAAAATATTTTTATTGCCTGTTTGAAACAGAACAGTTTGGAACTGTCCCACAGGAACTTTTTTAGGTTGGTTGGGGTTTTTTCCTCCATTAATTCTTCTGTCCCTTAATTTTTCTCTTTCCACTGGGACATTTTGGGACAGGTTTGATAGAGGAAGTCCACCAGCCTGGTATGGTGGTGCCCTGCTCACAGATGTGCGGCCAGGCAGAGAAACCCTCACTTTCCCAGCCCTACAGTAAGACAAGGCTTAGGTAAGGATGAGCACTAATGAGTACTGGACTGGGAGGAGTGAGTGATGGAGGCAGGTGATGAATGTGCTGCAGCTGTGCCATGGCTCAGTGCCTTACCCTGCCTGGCTGGGGTTATCCATGCAGCAGTCCTGGGTGGGATGTGGTTGGGTACTTTGATTTTACTAACCATGTGCCTTAGCCTTCAACTTCAGTCCAAGGCTGTTCAGATCTTTAGAGAGCTTCAAGTTTGCTTTCTTGGGGGACTACTGGTGGTCCTGATGCTGGAGGAAGGTTGTGTGTTTCCCTTCATGCTGCTGCCCTTGTGACCCTACTAACTGGTGCTGTGGGGTACCAATGTGGCAGAACTGCTGCAGCTGTGAACGAGCCAGGTATTTGCTTGCATGCTGAGGAGCAAGTAGCTGGACCCAACTGGATGGTGACGTGTGTGTGTGTGTATATATATATATATATATATATATATATATATTTGTCACTATTTTAGCTTTTCTGCCTGGTAGGATGTACTCACTGGCCTTGCTGCCCTGCACAGCTGCATGTGGCGGTCTCATGCTGCTGTCTAATGGTGCTCATTCAGCCCTGGGCCACTGTGGCATGGGGACAGGCAGAGCCCTTCCAGTTGTCAGGTCTCTGGGCCTGTGTCCATCTGCTGTGGGTTTTAAATGCAGTTGGGAATCCCTGGAGAGTGACTCATCCTTGACTGTGGGAATGACAGCAAGTACACTTTTGCCAGTGCTCATGGTCAAGGGCTTTTCTTTGCTCAGACACTGCTGTTTATCTTGCTTTGAGGGGCTTATCATTACTGTGGAGAGGACGAGATTAAGCTTGCTCAGGGATAGGTTGGCCAAGTGAGAGGTGTTTCCTTGTGGAGTGGTGAATCATGTCCCCATGGCTGAGCTCTGCAGGACCATGACGTTGTCATTCCTTTTCCTGGGATAAAGCAGGGATAGGGAATGGGCAGGATCTGTGCAAGCACATCCTTGCTTATGGTGGCAGTCACTGCTTCAGCTACAGCTATCGCTGTCCTATCCCTGCCCTGCCCCAGGACAACAGTGACATAAACTGAAGAGTTTGGCTTTGTTTTCTAACCACAGTGACTTCACCTTCCTCTTCCCATTGGTCATTTTTTCATTGCTACTGACCCCTCCACTGGCCTGGGATTCCTCCCTGTTACATCCCACAGCTGTTTCTCGAAGGGATGGGCACAGGCAGAGGCCATGGTGGGGCTGGTCATGGTGGGGATGTGGACCCAAGAGACACCCCCAGCTAGCCTGTTACTGAGCTGGCTGGCAGTTTGCTGCATCTCTTGTGTCTTTGTGGGGAGAAGGAAGAGGGGGCTGGTAGGAAAGAAGGTTTTACCCAGGGCTGCACCCCCCAGGACTGTGTGGCTATACCAAGCCAGGCTTATGTGAAAGCACAGGTCTCGCCTGCGTGCTTCCCTCCTGCATGAGTTTGCCTCTGTGCCAGGTCTTGATGCAGGGACAGCCATCACCAGATCCAGGGTGCTGGGAGGCCTGGAGCCATGCTCCTGTGGCCCTTCATTTGGGTCCTTCCCTTTGCCCGTGATGGTGCTGTGCGCTGGCAAACTGCCTGCTGAGCACGTGGCAGCAAACCATGTGTTGGGGACCCGAGCAACTAATAGTGGCATAACTAATGCCTCCTGCTCTGTGTTTTAAGTCTTCTGTGATGGGAAGTTCAGTAAAGATGCAAATCCATTAATTGCTTATGGTTTGTTGCATAAAATTATGTTTATTTGCATCACTGTACAGCTCACCCACACTGCTGTCGTCTGTGCCTTTTAAAATTTAAATTTAAACCCATTCAAGCTTCCCCCTCTATCTAAGGACCTTCTGAAACTTTGAAATCCCCAAAGTTCCACCTTCAGCACAGGTTTCCCTCTGGAGAGCTCTCCTAATCCCACTTGGAGTGGAAGGGTAGACTGCGGGTCTCCAGAGGTGGGCAGCTTCTGCAGTTCCATGAACGCAGAGGCTTGCTGCAGCAGAGTGGTGGCAGGGCTGTGTGACAGGCATTACCAGCCTTTTCAGAAAGGGTATGTTTAGACAGAAAAATTGTGTTACTGCTGTGGTGGGACTGAAACTTGTAAGCGTGGGGAGATATTACTGCAATGTCATGAATGACTTATGTCTGGTTTTGTTACTGAAAGCTAGATTTCTGAACAGAACTCAAACCAAGCTAGGTTGTTAGAGCAGCAGTTGGTATTTTTCCTCTATTGCTTTAAACAGTCAGTTATTTAAAGATGAGCATTAAAACATTCCTGGTTTTGTTGTAATTCAATATCTTTGGTCCCTGTGTCTTTCAGTCCAAGTGAGGAATTTTTTAGTCCCGGATGTGGTTCAAGCTGGGTGTTTGTTTTCTCCTTGGAGGTTGGGGTGAAGCACGGGCTGTCTTGGGCCACAGAGAGCAGTGGCAAGCTTGGAGGTGTGTGTGAGACTTCTTGTATTAGGTTGCAAAAGGCTCCAATAGCTACCATACAGCAGCAGAGTTGTGGCTTTTGACTTGAACAGACCAGGCCTCACTGTGTTCCTGGAGGAATGCAAAGTGTCCCCTTAAGAAAAATGTTTCTCACAGTTGTCAGTCGTTACTATGATGCTGGCTTGAGAAAAGGCAGGGAACAAAGACTGTGAATGAGCTGGGTGCTTATTATGTGGTCTGGTTCTTCCCCAAGTTCTGGACTTTCCTGGTACGTTGGGAGAAATTACATTGTTTTAGTTTAGACTGTGGAAGTTGTGGGTTCTGCAGGCTTGGCTGTGCTGTTAGTCTGCAGGCGAACAGAAGCTGGGGCACAAGTACAGATAGTTAACGCAGATTCCAGGAATGCCCATGCTTTGCTGAAGATGACAACTTCATTTCTTTGGGATGTAGAAATGTTGGTGTTAAGGGACCTCTGGAGGTCTCTAGCCCAACCCCTATTTGGAATAGGATTATACCCAGCCCTAGTCAGGTCAGCTGTGGCTTTACCAAAGCAAGCCTTGAAAACCTTAAGGGACATCCCTCACCCCTCTGGATCTCTTTTCCAGTGCAGTACCACCTAGTAAAGATTTTTTATCCTAATGTCCAGTTTGAACCTCCTGAGCTGCCACTCATGGCTGTTCCCTGTTGTTGCACCATCTGCTGCTTTAGGTGAGGAAACTGCTGCATCAAAGAGGTGAAATTAATTTTTCTCTTGTGTGCAGTGTCATATTTCTCTCTGAATGGCCAGCAATGGGCATCGAACTGTTGCCTGAGCTCTGCAGAAAGGCTCAGGAGAAGAGCACAGGGTGTTGGTTGCTTTTGTGATTCTCACGTCCCCTTATGTTCCTGTTCAGGCTTGCATCTGATCTCGCAGAACAAGGTGGCAGTGCTGCTCCTGGCTGGAGGACAAGGAACTCGACTGGGAGTGAGCTATCCCAAGGGCATGTACAACGTGGGGTTGCCCAGTGGCAAGACCTTGTATCAGATCCAAGCAGAAAGAATCCGCAAAGTGGAGCAGCTGGCTGGCCAGAGACACCACTGCAAGTGTGCTGTCCCCTGGTAGGTGACCTGAAGCCACAGACCTACTGTCTTTGTGTTGCAGTCTTGCCTGTGTTGTCTTCTAGAAGCACCTTGCCGGGTGCTGTACAGAGACACATCAGGGGAGAGCCGTTTGTAGGCAGGATTGTGATGCCAGCAGCTGGAGGAGGGTGCGCAGGGATGGGCAGTGGCAGGTCTGTGTCTTCAGACCTGGGGGACTGAGTACTGCCCTTGAATCGCTAACTACTATCCTAACTGCTGTACTGTGCTGTCTTTTCAAGCCCAGGCCCTGATAACACTATAAATAGCACTTTTCAGTGCCTGTTTCAGATGCTTCACAAAAGATTTCCTCTGGGCCATTCTTTCTCAGGTTCCTGCATGGAGGGAGAGACCACCTACAGCTCACCTTCCAAAGACCCTCTGCCTCCCCTTGCCTGCAATTTCTGCCACAGCAAAAAACCTCTTCCCCTTGTAGTAGTAATGGAGCTTGTCATGCTTCATTTTCAGGCCACCTCCTGCTGTTGTTTACAGCTGGCTGTTATCTCTCCTGGCTTCAGAAGAGACTAGATTTCTGCAAGGTGCAAAATATGAATTCCCTATGGGATGTGGTGGTTGAGAGGGAGGAAGGCGCTGCAGCATACTTCTGGGAATGTTTTCTGCTAAGTGTTCTTTGTTAGACTATGAAGAGATAGCTTTATGAAGTCACTGTCTGGTCTGAGCCAGGGTTTGGGAAGACTGAAGGGGCAGGGTTTTTAGGGTAGCACATTGTTTTACAAATTAGAGATCAAAGGTGATTTGAGCCCACATTGTGTTTCTTTCTGAAGCTGTATGTACATGACCTGAACTGCAAATACACCATCCCTGGTGCTGCTGGAAGCCCGTGTCGGTTATTTGTAGGATGCAACATCTGCTGATAATGTTCTCCCTGGGCTGAGGAGGCAGCTGCCTGCTACAGTCCACCACAGGCCAGGGTGTGCTGTGCTGCAAAGATGCAATCCAGGGAGTGTGCGAAGTCCAGGATCTCCTGTGCAAGGGATTGATTCCCCTGGCATGCTGGCAGGGGACCCTATATACCTGTGCTAATAGTTGTCGACAAGTAGATGAGGAAGGTGGTTCTTAGCCAATGTTGGAAGAAGGAGGGTAATGGAGGGAGAGACAGCAGCAATGTGGAGCTAGAAGGAGAGGAGGAAATAGGGAAACTTAAGAGAAAAACAAATCATGCAGCCAACATTTGAAAATGCTGCTGTTTGCCTTGGCACAGAGGGGGCACTGACGGACTGAGCTGCTGGGGGTTCACAGCTCATTCTCAGCACCTCATGCTGCTCAGTGCTGCTTTAGACACTTAACAACAGTTTGAATCTAGGATGAACGAGGCTGTTGTACTGTCCTTTGCCTTGTTTTCCAGCTCATCTATATATCCAGATGTTGTTCATCTTTAGGGAAAAGCTCTTCTCTCCTGGCTGGACCTAAAGCCTGTGGTTAGGGTCATGCACAAGACCCTGTGCAGCGGTCCTGGGGGGTGAGTTCTGGAGGAGAGCTCCGTGCTCAGCTGCATACTGCAGGATATTGCAGTGCCTTTCATTTAACACTCTTGGGTTTCCTTCCTTTTGTGTTCTACTTGTGGTTTTGTCTTTTCCTTGTGCTTTTCTTGCTTATTGCTCAGAACCCATTCCTGCCCAGGTACATCATGACAAGTGAGTTCACGCTGAGGCCGACAGAGGAGTTCTTTGTAGAACACAACTACTTCAACCTGAATAAATCTGACGTGGTCATGTTTGAACAGAGGATGCTGCCTGCTGTTACCTTTGATGGGAAGGCCATCTTGGAGGAGAAGGGGAAGATTGCCATGGCTCCAGGTACCCCACTGTTCATTCTTATGTAGTACAGTAATGTGTGATGTGTTGATAATTGCTATGAGCCATCAGCCAGCCTTGGCACACGGAGCAGGCTTTGGAGGTCAGTGTTAATGCTTCTGACTAGCGTGGGAGGGTTCAGTTAAACGTTTCAGGCTGGTAATAGAGTCTAGCGATTTCTGTTTCGTTCTTACTGGAGATTTGCCCACAGCACATGGTTTTTATCAAAGCCTGGAATTTGGATAATCGGAAGTCAGGATTAGGAGTGGTGCAGCTGCAGGTTAGGAGCAATGTGCATCAGCAGGGCTGTACATCAGGTCCCTGGGGTGCTGCCCCTCAGGCGTGAAGCTGTCAGGAGCCAGGCTTCCATGCAATGCTTATAGCTGGCAAAAAAGCAGCAAGAAGATTAACGTTCCAAAATGATTGCAATGTCTCACCTAATAAAGTTCTCTTAACCTGGACATGGTAAGAGACTCGGGGAGGGCAGCCTGGCCGGGGCCATGTTGCGGTGATGTGGTTTTGCGGTTGCAGAGTGGTTTTCCTAATCTGGCAGCGGTGTCAGAGGAGGAGCTGTGAAAGGCTGATCTGTGATGAACAAATGTGCAGGTGTCTTTTGTGCAGCTGCAGTTCAAGCCTTTAAAAAAGCATTGGAAGGTTGCGGGTGGAAGGTAAACAGAAAATAAGATTTATTTCAGTCTTTTTCTCCAAGCTGTGTTTTAAATTGCTCTGCACTGGAAGAGAAGAAATGTAGCTGGCTTTCCCCACTGTCTGCATAATGTTTTGCCCTTTAGTGTTTACCCTCTGAGGATGTTATAAGGCTTCATAAAGTCTCATAATGCTTCTCTGTGAGGCTGGTCCCCATGGTCCCACTCTGTGGGTGAGGGAGCTGGGGTGTGGAGGGGAACAGCCTTGCCTGACCTGTGGCAGAGCTGGAAATAAAATCTGGTAGCACTGATTCTTGGCTAGAAAGAATTCCCTGCTCTGCTGTAAAAGAAAGTTTCTTTAAGCTTTTTCTCTTCAAGCTGTAAAAGAAAGGACTTTGTCAGCAACAAAACCCCCACAAAGTCACAAATTAACCAAGGTTTTCTCTTTTCTCTTGCATTGTAGATGGCAATGGTGGCTTATACCGTGCTTTGGTGGATAATAAGATCTTGGATGACATGAAGCAACGTGGAATCCAGTATGTCCATGTATACTGTGTGGACAATATTCTTGTGAAAATGGCAGATCCAGTCTTCATAGGCTTCTGTGTTTCGAAAGGGGCAGACTGTGGTGCAAAGGTGAGGTGGTGCTAACGCCGGGCCACTTACCTACAGGGAGTTAAGGTCTGATCACACTTGGAAGCTGCTGCCTAGGATGAGCTTAGATGAACCAGGGTGTTCAGACCTCTGTCTGATAGCGACTCGCTCCAAGCAGACTTAGAACTGCTTGCTGCCTGCATTGCATTCAGAACCCTGCCCATGGGTGTCCTCCTCTGCTTCTCCCAGAGTACTGTGCAAAAATAAAAATCAATTAGAGCAGGGAATGTAACTGCACAGGACACAAGTTGGAATTGCTTCTCCTTTATGCCCTGCCCTTTCTACGAAGGCACTTGGGCTGTCTGGAAGCTGTATTGAACTGGATTGTGTTTTTTAAATGCACCTTTAAGGCTAATGGAGGCATTCCTTATGCCCCACTGTGGAAGATGGGGAACACCAAACCCGCCTGGTTGTGTCACCCTAAAGCAGCAGGTGCCTGAGGGGAGATTTATATTACTTTAGTCATTTACACCATACATTCAGACAGGAAGCTGAAAGCTAATAACAGCTGCAGACATTTTTTCATTTAATGCCAGGTCTCAGTCCTTGATACCTGGGTTCGGTGCCCAGTTGTTGGACAGAATGTGCCTCCAGGCTACTCCGTATACCCAGCACTGCCCTGCCTGTGCTCCTGAGGTGCTGGAGGATCAGTGTGCCTGCAGTCCTGTAGGATCATTTGTACGTGGGAGTTGGAATAGTGCTGGGATTTTCTTCTTCCTTGTCATAGCCCTCTGTCCTGTGGCTGCAGGTGGTGGAGAAGGCCTACCCCACAGAGCCTGTTGGGGTGGTGTGCTGTGTGGATGGGGTCTACCAGGTGGTGGAGTACAGTGAGATCAGCCTGGAGACTGCGCAGCAGAAAAGCCCTGATGGGGGACTGATGTACAGCACTGGCAATATCTGCAACCATTTCTTCACAGTTGAGTTCCTGGAGACAGTGGCCCAGTAAGTTCCAGCAGACCTGCTAGGCAGCTGTGCAGCTAGAAAAGCCTCCAAGAGTGGGTGTTCCCATTGCTCACTCTGTAATATCAGTTATGGGTACCTCCTGCTCTGCTGTTCATCTCCTGTCTCCTACAAACCGTTCAAAGGCAGCTGTGTCCCCTTTCTGACAGCCCCAGTGTGCTCTTCAGACCTTACCCAGTGAAGAGATTGCATGCATTGCTGTAGGTAAATCAACCAAACTATACCAGTGTATGACCTTCCTGGGCCTCTAAGGGTGAGCGGCCACATGGGCTGCAGTCTGGTCAGTGATGTCATCAGTGATGCAGCCCCACCCTGAGGATTTTCAATGGCAATGTTGCCCATGCCATCCCTTGGGACAACAGAGGTTGGGGGAGGGGGTAAAGCTGGCAGAGAACTCTGCACCATGGTGTTGGGAGATGGGGATGTGATGCCAGGCATTCAGTGAGCAGCTGTACAACCTTCCTGAAGACCTTGATCCACCCTTGTGTGAGAAATGGGTTCTGCTCCAATGTCATCCTGGTCAGATAATAATTTGGGTTACCTTTTTTTATCTCTGCCTGCAATTCCAGCTCTATGCTAGATCTTTCCTTTCCTCTTGCTTTACCCTGTCATGGTACATGGAGTGCTGCTGGCTGGGCTGCTCTGCTCAGGGAAGTGTTTCCTGGATGTGACTTGGATCAGTTTGGAGAGAGCAACACCGACAACAGTTGAAAGATGACCCAGAGCAATAATAAGCCATCTGTTTCCCAGAAGTATACTACTTTTATCTGAGTGAGCATGAAATAAAAGATCTTGTTTCTTCTCCTTTTGCAGGAAATATGAGCCGCAGCTGAGGCATCACGTAGCCATAAAGAAGGTGCCCTACATTGACGAGGAGGGAAATCTGGTAAAACCGCTAAAACCGAACGGGATAAAGCTGGAGAAGTTTGTGTTTGATGTGTTCCAGTTCTCTAAGTTAGTGGCAGACGTGATTTCTTTTTTTTTTTTTTTCTCCCCTTTTCAATGTTTGTTTAAATGACTATAGGTTGTAACAGGCCTTGCCAGGGAGCATGTGGTTTGTGGGTGGCTTGTTAGAAAGGCTGTTGGATCTACACCAAGCTCCAGCACAACAGTAACACCACAGGCTTTGAGAGATGCGGTCACAGGGTGCTCAGCAGCTGGCCTTGCTCTGACCATGCTCCTAGAACTGTTTGTTCCACTGAGGATGTGTTGGCTGGCTCAGCCTTTGCCAGCCCTTTGAAAGAAAGAGGGAAAGAGAGAGAGAGGGAAAGAAAGAGAGAGAGAGGGAAGGAAAGAAAGAAAGAGAGAGAGAGGGAAGGAAAGAAAGAGAGAGAGAGAGAGGGAAGGAGAGAAAGAGAGAGAGAGAGAGGGAAGGAAAGAAAGAGAGAGAGAGGGGGAAGGAAAGAAAGAAAGAGAGGGAAGGAAAGAAAGAGAGAGAGGGAAGGAAAGAAAGAGAGAGAGAGGGAAGGAAAGAAAGAGAGAGAGAGGGGGAAGGAAAGAAAGAAAGAGAG